GTGTATGAAGCACCCAAAATCTGAGAGATCAAACCATTTAAAGTATTTCAGGAAACTAAAGTTATAGAAGCATAAAATATGTAGCAAGCAAGATAGAGATGTTTTGCTAAGATCATAATAGTTTAAAGAAACCAACAGCAAGAAAAAGAGGATGGCATACTATATAGACAGACCCTGACTTGCTTTAGCACAGAATTACCTCTGTTTCGGAGTAGATTTAGTCAGTGTTTGTATATGTTGGAAGAGGATTGGACTCAAAAGATCAAATCCTGATGCCTTATTCAGGTGAGCAGTCTAAGAAACCGAGTAAGGAGAACAGGATCTGGCACATAGGGAATGTCCAACACCTCCCATTATAATACCCTGTTTTCAATTGATTATAACTTTGCCATATATCAATGAGAAAGCTGTTTAGCCAACTTCATTGCCACTTTGTACACATGCCATTCAAGTTGCATTGCTAATTACCCATAAAGCTAACTGTATTATTCACTGCAGATGTATACTCTCATCTTCAGGGGTAAGTAGCAATGCAACTTGAGGAGGAAAAAGATGAACCCCAAAAAAGCAAGGCTGAGTGAGTGGCAAATCAGTTGTATCTTCTTATCCTAAGACCAAGAGGCTGGGGCTGTAATCCAAGAGAGGAGAAATATTGTCGGCTGATGAGAGGAAGGAAGGTAAATTGTGGTTAACCAAAGGAATGGTAAACTGGTTGGTAATGCCATTGTTCATTATCAAAAAGAATTCTAGGACCTGAAACAATTGTGCAGTCAGAGTTAACCCTGCAGTACATAACTTAAATAAAAACATTGCTTTAGATGTGATACGCTATTTTATATGGATTAGAGAGGTAATATAATGTTGCATATTTAAAGAGTAGCTATAGAGAGAGATTACATCTTGTTTTCTTTTGATAGCTTCGAGTGCTTTTACTGCTGAGTTAAAATGCAAAGCAGGTCTTAATTCCACTGTGTGTTTCCCTTTCCTGATTGTCAGCTAATGACTACACTAAACCTATACTGGTGACATCAAAACTGCAAGAGATTGCAGTACATTAACTGAATATAGTCTGATGAACAAAAAATATAAAGCGATATCTGGTGCTTAAATTTCACAAGGGGGAAATGGGAAAATATTTAACTGAGAAATCCAAAATGAGTAAATTATGCTTGCTAAATCAGGTACTGAATCTGGAGATTGCTGTTTAAAGGAG